CTGATTATTAGTCTTTGATTATTCCAATCCAAGTCTCATGAGAATAATCAATTATTTCCAATATTTAGGTTTTCAGCATTTTAATAGTTTTTTTTATGGTATTTATATATAGTTGACAATTAGAGCTAGTCAATTAGTGGAATTTGCTAATTGATTATCATTAAATTCATTATCGATTATATTCAACTAATTGATTATTCTCATGAGACTTGGATTGGAATAATCAAAGACTAATAATCAGGTAATCAACTAATCGAAATTAGTGTTTCGTGACATTAATCAATTTAATCATAATTTAAATTACTGGATAGTTAGAACATTAGTCAATCTAATCTTAATTTCCATTAATCATTTTATGTGACACTAATTGATATAATCAATCATGTTACTTGCCCAACTCTAGTAAAGAATGCATTCCTTTTCAGCTACCTTGACTAAATTAAAAACACTGCAAGCTTCATTATCATTTTTCTCACTTAGAGTAGCCATCTAATATCCCTTTCTCAAAAGATCTTACATTCTCTAAAAGTCAAGATTCCTTAAATAGGGAAAATGATTGTTATTAACTCTATTATTGATTTTAATACAAACAAAGTGATAATGTTATGGTCACTAGTTACTGTCCATTGAGAGTACCAGGTAAAATATTTTTGAGCTTGAAAAACAAGATATTAGAAATAATTGTAATTGTAGATTAGTATTTTTCTGGAGAAGTTAAGAATTATTTTGGTAGAAAAGTTTAGTTATTTCAATGTATTATAGTGAGATTAGTTATAAATCAACATGTTTTATTTCTGTAAGTACAGCTAAGCCTAATGTTAAGACATTAGGCTTAACAATAGAATATTAGTCCAAACATTAGGCTATTTAGGTAGTTGTACTAGTATTAAATTACAAGATACAAAAATTATTAAATATTAGATGAAAATAAAGTTATCAGAAGCACTAGATAACTAAAAAGAATATACTTAATTTTACAGTTGACGTTATTATTTCCATTAGTTAGCAGCTACTAAAAATTTAATACAAAAATTATTTAAATTTGCAATTAGTTCATTGTAAGTATAAACTATAGCCATGGTGTACATGATAGGTATGGCACTCGTAATCAATGGAGTTAGTATTAGCTAATAAGGGATTTCAGTGTTACATTTAGCTATGATTTCATCAATACATTGTGAAATAGCTTAACATTAGTTAAATATATAGTTTTCTCTATTTAGTAGGATTGACAGTAGTTCATGGTGAAATTCATAGGGTGTGCCAGGTGCCAGGATTGTGTTATGCTTGAAAATTGAGAGTATGACTGCAACTTTCAGAAGGATCAGAAAGATACAATACTTACACTACATTTACAGAGCTTGCTAATCTGAGAATAAGTAAAGAAATAGTTATTGGGAAGATTGAGCTATTACTAGAATAAATAGCATTTTAAAAAGTAGAAATCAAAGAAGCATGACACAAAAAAAGGATAGTTTGGGTAAAGGTGATTTTGGTGGGGGGAGGGGTGAAAATGAGAATGGTGGGTTTACAAATGTGCATAGTGGAAAAAAGTTAGTGCTACAAGGAAGGTTTACTTAATGTTCAGGTATGAATCTAAAATAATTGAAGCTTGGGCTACTTGTAATAAAAAACAAGACCACCAAAATGTTTATACAGTGTAGGACTCTCTCCTTTTAAGTATACAGATCAATTTATTTGTAGTGGCAAGCACAGAAAGACTAGGACTAGAATTTGCTTGCCAGTTACTAAAGTAAAGGATGTTATAGTATATGTTGATAATTCAGTTGCTAGTACCAAAAAAAAAAAACTTTTTGTAGAACATTTAAGTGCTTATGATGACTGAAGTTACAAATAAAATAAGCTGCTGAAAAAGTATAAAGAACTCCTTCAGGAATTCTGTTTTGAGCTAGGCGGGGGAATGTATTATTTATTAAGATCCAAGGTGTAAATGAAATGATAACAGAGATATGCTCTAAAGACACTGACTATATTGTGCACAAAGCATTTTACAAGTTAGTCATCTAATGTTCGGCTATTATTGGCTTGTAATTCATGTTTCACCCTGTACTTAAGCTAACTTCAAGGTGAGATGACAATGTTCACACTAGAATTATGATTTTTTTTTAAATTGAGCATAGAATAATAATAAGATAGGTAGTCAAAGATTGTGAAGACTGTTTTGCTCTATCAAATAATGATAAAAGTATAGTTATTGCTAGAATTAGGTAGACACCAGGCCTGTTGAAGAAAGATGATGATGATGAATAAAAATAGGAAATCTTGGTCTTGACTATTTGCCAGTTTGTGACTTTGGGATGCTCTGGATAGCTGAAACACAGCATATATATATACCACAGGTAGAGCGACTATGCCAGGTAGCTCTTTATATCTAGCTTCTGATGGCCTGTAGAGAAGGAAGAAAATCCAGATGACTTTTGTATTGCTTGAATACAGGCATCTATCTGTGCCATCCCTACAAAGGGAATACAAGCATGCTCTCCAATTACTGGAAACATACTAGATGTTGCCAGGGCTCTTACTGAAATGGAAGACTATGATATAATGGATATTTCTGAAACTTACTTTACTTTGGAGAACATTGATAACAACAATAAATTTAAAATCCCAGGTTATAACTTTTATAATATTGAAACTTTTTAAGATGAGTGAGGTGACTCTTTATATAAGAAATAAAATGCAGACTATTGGGACTGAAGACAAAAAATAGTATACAAGAAGTTTACTCTCTACTGGTTACAATTAAAGGTATCAAAAGTTGAAGTAAGAGAGCATTTGGAAAAGTAATAATTGTGTAATTAGGTTTGATGTCTTACAAAAAGCAAATCATTATTTGTGAATTTGGATAATGTGTTAAAAGGTGAAGTGAAACAGTTTTGGAAAACTTTTAAAAATTAACTGCTTGTAAATCAAGAAAATCATCTTCCTCAAAAAAGGAAGAATATAGCAGGGAAGATCAAACCTTATTGATTTACTAAAGACATAAAATAAAGATCAGAAATAAATGGCATAAGTTCAAAAAGTTTAAAACAGCTACGATGAAGATATACAGAATTATTTTAAAGATACGGATTTGGTTAAAAAGAAATTAGGATATCAAAAAGGGCTTATGAGAAATAGCTGTTTGATAATCTGAAAACAGGATTTTTTTTTAATATGGTAGAATCAAGTAAAATGTTAAAACTAGGATTGGGTCCTTAAAGGATGCTGATGGCTGAAGACTATGAGATGGCTAAGATTTTAAATGTTTTTTTTCTCCTATGATTTTACAAGAGAAATATATCAGAAATATTCCTAAGCATTCTATGAAAAAAATGAATTGACTTAATCATGTAGATCAGAGGTTTCCAACTTTTTTTCAACTGATGACCAGTTAGTTCCCATCACAAAATTTCAAGGCCTGTGTAATACAATATTAATTTTCTAAAGTTGTTTAAATTACATTGTAAAATTATATATCTCAGTAGCTATACCATAAAACTCAGATTTTTTTCTAAA